GCTCCGCGGCAAACTAACCTCAGTTTTGCCGACACGGTGGTTTCAGGGCTCGTCGGATCCGGCATCAGATCGCCATCTGGCGTGTGCTCAAATCGTCACAGGCCACCAAGTTTGTCGACGTCCAACACCACCCCCACCTACCTCACCATCATGGACCGCGGCGCCGACACCATCGATATCCGCGGTGGGGTAGCGCGTCCAGCGGACTCGCGGTCCGCCGCCGCCTCGGGGCAGGTGCCACGTTTGACTTGTTCACGGGCTGCAGCGTCAACGACGCTAGCCAGCAGGGAGTCGTGGATAAGTCCATCCGACAGAACAGGCTCCTAGTTGCCATCATGTCTCCCGCCTGTCGGCCTTTCGGTCGCTGGGCTACGTGTGCCTACCAGCGCAACTATCACACCTTGCTGCGCTCATCCAGTGACGCGGCCCACGCGGCCGATCCTGCGGCTGCATTGCACTGCTGCAGCCGCAGCTCGGCGGCGACTTCGGCAATGAACAGCCCGACGCATCGCGGCTGTGCGACGTGCCGTCTTGGCCAGAGGCGTTGGCGGCACCAGTCGTGCAGTGCGCCGGCAGACGCGCCCGCGCGCACGTCGTTGACCGCGACAGCATCGACGCCCAGGTCTGGCCATGGAGGATGGCCGAGCGGTCAGCCCAGGGCATAGCGTGCCTATTCCGCCGCCCGGTGCGCTCGCATCTCGCGAACTATGTTCGCGAATGCGACCTCGAAACGGCGGCGCTCTCAGCAGCGGCCCCCAGGCCCGCGGCGGGCCGAGCGCGCGCGTTTCGAGAGCGGGCCTTGCAGAGGCGCCCGAGACGCCGTGGACTCCAGATGCGTTAAGCGGCGAAAGCGCCGGAAAGGATCGGGCGGCGAGACCGCGAGGATCACCCAGCGCCGCATGGCGCTGCAGAGAGGCTTCCGCGACGTGGGCGCTGGAACACTGGAGGCGCTCGCCTGGGCGGCGAAGCAGGCGTCGCGGCGCGGGCTGTTCTCGCAGGCGGCGCGTCGTCCTGACCGGGCGCGCGCCTCCGTGGACGACGAGATGGCACTCTTGCCGGGCGCGACTTGCGCCGAGGTTCAGTAACAGGGAGAAGCGCCACGCAAGGTGAACACTCGCCCTGCCGCCCGGCAGCGCCGCCATCTTCAGGGGGGCGCCAGGCCGCGAGTCTTTCTCCACGATGCAAGGGGCGCAAGGATGCGCCCGGGGCCTTCTCCCCGAAGCTCGCCAGGGCCACGCGCTCGCTGGGGCGCGGCGCGGCGCGGCGCCGCGGGGCTTGGAGCTGGAGGTCAAGCGCGAGACGCCCGGCGTCTGTGGCGCCAGCGGCTCGGAGCTAGTGCTTTTGCTGTCCTCGCGCGTCGACGGCCAGAAGATCGCCGGGCGCGACGAGCGCGACAATCGGCTGACCGGCCGCGTCGTCGGCGTCTTCGGCAAGATGAAAAGGGGGATCGCGACGATTTCGCTAACTGCGAAGTCCACCAGCACCGCAGTGCCAAGCACAGTGGCGCTCAATCAGGACGAGAACATCGACGCCTTGCTTCCCGCCAGGCACATCGACCTGGCCAGGGCGAATGCCGACGAGCTGGCCGCAGGTCATATTCCAGACATTCTTGTCCCCTCCCCAGAGAAGCAGCATGCGTTATGCTCGCGCAGCGCCGTGCTCCGCCTGCGTCGTCGCTCTGTGGAGGGCCGAAACCACGCTCTCATCCGTCGCGCGGCGCAGTTCAACTCCGTCGTTTTCGCCGCGCAGAAGATCAAGTCGCGCGCTGCCCCCCCTGCCATCGAGCGCGCTCGGCGACTGCGCGCGCGGCGACGGGTCAAAAGGGGAGGGGTAGCCAGTTTACGGCGCGAGAGGAGCCGTGTACATGCGTCTGGGCAAGTGCCGCAGCAGCGGTAAACAGGTCTGTCACTCGCTCGACGCCGTGAGCCGGTTGCACAAGCTGGGGTGCCGACTACACGTGGCTCAGAGCTGCTCGCAGCATGCGGGGCAGCCGACGGCCCGCGAACGCATCTCCTCGCGCTCCACGGGATGCCGCGTGGACCCGCCTCCGCCGCGGGGAGCAGGAGGCCTGGGGCGGAAAGAGGTTGCGCCCTGTCGGCAGAGCTGGCCGGCATGTCCGTCTTCTCAGCGTTGGCCACGCATCCAGATCGATTGCCTTCGGGGAACAGCGTGGCCAGCCACGCGCGGCGGCTATCGGGGCAGCTCCGCACCAAGCTAATCGACGACATGCTTTGGTGCGACACCCGAGACGCGAGGGCCGATCCAATGACGAAGGGGGGCATCGTCGGGGAATGCGTTCTCGACGTCACGGACGGGGCGCCCAGCTACGACCGCAACGCCTGCAGGCTGGGCGAGCGGCGGCACAATAACGCAGTGTTGAGTTTCCGTCACAACAAGTCCAACCACGAGGCCATGGGCGGCCATGGTGACCACGTCGCCCGCTTGCCCAACGCCACGGGCAAAGGCGACCCGACGGCGAAGGACGAGGCATGCGCTCGCATCTCGCGGTCGATGTTCGCGAGTGCGACGTAGTGATGCATGCATTCGATTGGGTTGCTTCCGCGAATTCTGTGCGTGGGGCAGCCGGCGATTGAAAACTGAGTATGCAAGTGAATGATGCCGCGTTCCATCAATTGTCTCATGCCTGCATTTTCTGAGGGGTGCGGTTCGTAGAAAGTCTTCTCGTGATAGATTGCGTTTGCCTCGCTGGTTGGTGCGCGAAAAGCGCGCGCGGGCCGGAGAGGCGCAACAGCCTCGCTTGCGCGCCAGACTCGAACGCTATGTCTGTACATGTTGACTGCCTTTGTTGTTCTTTTTCCCGCTGCCGCTTGGATCGCTGAAGACAGCCTCCCGTGCCCGTGTTGGTCGCGTATGCGCGACGTATTCGGCATTTGAAGTATCCTTACTTCTCAGCATGACCCTTCATTGTTAGTTCCGTGCTGATTCGAGCAGATGTTTTGGCCCGCGCGTTTGGAAGTGGCGCAGCGGGTCAGACAACTTCCGCACGCCCGTTCATGCCAAACCATGGGCAGGCGCAGCATATCAGGATGTGGACCTGCCGCGACCAGGCGTGACGCGTCCAGAATGTCGGGTTCCGGTCAGAGTGTTTGCAACGCGGAAAGGGGTTCTTCAGCACATCTTCATCCAACAACGCCGTAAGCCCATGACCCGGCAACTGCGGGCGCCGCAGGGGACATATAATTGGGACCCACCTCGGACGACCCGCGGGCCGCCCAACAGCAGTCCGTGCACGGGTGGGCCGACGAGGGCAAGTTCATCAGTTCACCAATGACCAGCCCCGGCTCTCCTCGAGAAACGAAGCGTGTGGCTCCGGAGTCCCCGGTCCTCAGCGAGGTTTGGGATCTATTGGCAGAGGCCCAAACTGCCGAATCCGCCCTGGCCGACCTGCACAAGAGGCGCCCGCAGGACCTCTCTGCAGCGGCAGGGTAGGAAACAAAAACATATCAAGGTTAGGAACGCGCTTCGGAGGACGAGAAGGTCTTGCGCACGGCGCGCGAGGACCACGACGCCGAGAAACAGCAACTCGCGCGCCACAGGGACGCCCTCGCCGATATCGACAAAACGCGGCAGGGCCGCCCCGGCCGAGACCGTGCCCCCCGCGGTGGCCGGCCCTGAGGCCGAATTCGACCCGCAGCTGGACCTGGAGCAACTTGGGGTCTTTAATCAGGTGTTCGCAAGTGGGAGCAAACGGTTTGGCTTCGACATCTGACCGTTCGAAGCGATGGCCGACGCGGAAAAAAAAGCTGCGGTTCAAGCCAAGGTGTCGGCACCTGCTCAGGCGTTTGCTGACGGTTCTATGCCTGATGCTGGGGCCGCGACAGGCGGTGGCCAGCCAAAAGTTGCTTGTGAAAGGCCTGCAGAAGAGACCATGGTGCTGGACGCCAGAGACCCCGCCCCCAAAGAACAACACGAGGAGGGGGAGGAGGAGGAGGAGGAGGAGGAGGAAGAGGAGCAGGAGGAGGCGGAGGAGGAGGAGGAGGAGGAGGAGCAGGATGAGGAGGACGAGGGGAGGAGGCGGAGGAGGAGGAGGGGGAGGGGGAGGAGGAGAGGAGGAGGCGGAGGAGGAGGAAGAGGAGGAGGAGGAGAAGGAGGAGGACGTGGAGGAGGAGGAGGAGGAGGAACAGACAATTATCCCAGCGCGACCCTACCTAGGAGTTGGAGCCTCTAGGAAAGCAACATTAGTAGGAGCGGTAAACGCCGTCCTCCTCCTTCTCCTCATCGTCGTAGTTCTAGCAGTAGCGGTGGTACTAGTAGAAATACACATATATAAATATAACTGTATATGTGTATAGCAGCAATGGTGGCTGCTGTGTTGCGTTATGCTATGCTTTGTTATGCTATGCTATGATATGCTTTGCTATGCTATGCTATGCGATGCTATGCTATGTTGCGCAATGCTATGCTGGGTTAGGCTAGGCTAGACTAGGCTATGCTATGCTATGCTATGATGCGCTATGCTATGCTGCGCGATGCTATGCTATGCTATGGTATACTATGTTATGCTATGATGTTGCTTTGCCTTCGTTTTTGCCTTCACTTTTGCCTTTGCTTTTGCTTTTGCTTGGCACCCAGGGAGCGCAACTGGGGGAATCGCGCGTTTGCTATTACCTTTGCTGTTGCTTTTGTTTGGGTCCCAGGGGACCGGGGGAACCGCCCGGGGCGGTTAGCATTGCCCGGCCCTTCTAAATAAAGAACTTAAGAACCCTTCTAGGCAGAGCCTAGGTAGGGATAAATATGAAACAGAGGAGGAACAACAAAGAGGAAGAGAAGGAGGAGGCAGGAGGAGGATGAGGAGGAGGATGAGGAGGAGGACGAGGAGGAGGAGGAGGAGGAGGAGGAGGAGGAGGAGGAGGAGGAGGAAGGGGAAGGAAAAGGGGAAGGGGGCGGGAGGAAAAGGAGGACGAGGGAGGAGGGGGAGGAGGACGGAGAGGGACAGAGAAGGGAGGACCTGGGCTGAGGAGGAATGGGCTCCCGCTCAGGACATGACGTACCGCAGCAGCCCGCCGAGGGCCGCCTACCCTCAGGAGTTGGACGCGCTGGGGGCATCGGGCCTCCGCCGCGTGGCGGCCACCGTGGCGCAGGCGGCGGCGGAGGCGGCGGCGCATGCCACGTCCTAACGCTTCATGTTTCCTCCTCTTTCCCCCTCCCTCCGTCCCTCCGTCCTCCTCCTCCTCCTTCGCCTCCTCTTCGTCCTCCTCCCTCTTCTCCTCCTCCTCCTCCTGCTCCTCCTGCTCCTCCTCGTTCTCCTCCTCTTCCTCCTCCTTCTCCTCCTCTCTCCTCCCCCTAGAGGGATCGAATGTCTGACATGGGGGCGAGCGCACCTCGCTTGTCCTCTCTTCTCTCTAATATGTTCTCCCCCTCCTCTGACTTCTCGCCTCTGCCCTCCTCCCTCCTCTGTACTCTCTCCTGCGCTCCCCTCGGCCCCCCTCCCTCCTCGTCCTCCGCGTCTCCCTCCCCTCCTCGCCCTCCTCATCCCCTCCTGCTTGTCGGTCCCGAGCCTCACGCAGGATGGGAGGGAGAACGGGCGGAGAAAACGCAGGAGGAAGAGGACGGCATGAAGGAGGAGCATGATGAGGAGAGGAGTGAAGAAAATGAGACCGAGAAGGCATAGCAGGAAGGGGGGGAGAAGGCGCAGGAGGATGAGTAGGCGCGAGAGGAGGAGGATACGGATCAAGATGAGGACGACGAGTGCGAGGAGGCGTAGAAGGAGGAGCAGGAAGCGGCGTACGCAGTCGCATGAAGAGGAGGAAGAAGAAGACGAGTAAGAAGCGGAGTGGCAGGATGTTGAGCATAGGCAGGAGTCAGTGGAGGAGGGGGGGGATGCGGCGGAGAGGAGGCGCGGGTCTACGAGGGAGGACGGTGGAGAATAATGGAGGAGGAGGAGGAGGAGGAGGAGGCGGAAGCGGATCCGGAGGGTGAGGAAGGAAGGGAGAGGATGAGGCGCGTGTGTGTGTGTGTGTGTGTGTGTGTGTGTGTCCTCTCCTAGTGCCTGTCATGCCCCTCCTCCCCCCCCTCCTCCCTCCCTCCCCCCTCCCTCCCTCTCCTCCTCCCTCCCTCCCTCCCTCCTCCCTCCTCCCTCCCTCCTCCCTCCTCTCCTCCTCCTCCTCCTCCTCCTCCTCCTCCTCCTCCTCCTCCTCCTCCTCCTCCTCTCCTGACGTCCTGACACTGTCACCAAGAAGGGCTCATGCTTAAGCTCCTCCCCTCCTGGCGCTCCTCCCAGTGGGAGGAGGCCTCCGGAGATCTGCCGCAGTCCCTCTGGAGGGCGAGAAAAGTCTCCAAGCGCCTGGAAGCAGCGATCCTCGCGAACCCGAGGAGGAGGAGGAGGAGGAGGAGGAGGAGGAGGAGGGGGAGGAGGAGGAGGAGGGCGGAGGAGGAGGAGGAGGAAGAGGGCGGAGGAGGAGGAGGAGGAGGAGGAGGCAGGAGGAGGAGGGCGGAGGAGGAGGGCGGAGGAGGAGGAGGAGGTGAGTCCAAACTAAGGCCAAGATACATCAACGATGCCGCACTTCACTCTTCTCACGAGTCCCTGCAAGCCTTCCGTCTCACTACATGCCGCGCCCCCCTACAAGGCCAGTAGTATCTCGTGGGCCTCTCGGTCAGGCGAGAGCCCTGCCTTGAGGAGAAGTTGTCTGCACCCTTCGAGGGAATAGTGAGGAACTCGGACAGGTAGGAGCATACAATTTCAAAAATATGTCCAGCGAGGGTCCCGTTTTGCAAGGCGGGCCCCCAGTCGCGCAAGTGGTGCGCAGGTCTCCACGTCGGGTCATGAATCCCGAAGGAGCCGCAGGCAAGCGACCCGCTTCGACACGGAGGGGTCCTCTATCCGAGCAGCTGCGTCGTGCGTCCACGTTTCTAGCTCGTCGAAGTCCGAGTTTCCCAAGCGATTGCCCCATGTTGTAACGGAGCCTTCTTCAACACGTGTAACAACAATAGCAGCAATTGAAGACGAATGTGCGCCCAATTTTGAGTTATCCTTGCGAAGGGCCCAACAACATACTGTTCTGATGTTTTGATTCTCGCCGTTGTGGGTATCGCCTTTGGTGGATCTCTTGATGAGGCCACGAAGCGTGTAAAGGGTGTGCCAGAATGGGGCGAGGACGCATGCGGGCGCAACTATTGGGGCCTTTGGTGGCGCCCCATATGTGGCCGCGAAATGTGTGAGGGGTGTGCCGAAATGAAGCGGGGCCGCCATGCGAACGTCTCCATTGGGACTTACGGTAGAGCTCCTTATGGGGCCACAAAGCGCTGTACCGGGTGGGGGAAACGCATGCGGACACCGCCACTCGGGCCTTCGGTGGAGCTCCCTATGGGGCCACGAATCGCTGTACTGGGCGGGGGTGACGCATGCGAACGCCGCCACTGGGGCCTTCTGTGGAGCTTCCCATGGGGCCGCGAAACGTTGTATTGGGTGGGGGAAGCGCATTCGGGGCACCGCCGCTGGGGTTTTCGGTGGAGCTCCATGTGGAGCCACGAAGCGCTGTACTGGGTAGGAAGTAAAGCATGCGGACACCGCCATTGGGGCCTTCGGTGGAGCTCCCTATGGGGCCACGAAACGTTGTACAGGGTGGGGGAAACGCATGCGGACACCGCCGCTGGGGCCTTCGGTGGACTTCTTCATGGGAAACGCATGCGGACACCGACACTGGGGCCATCAGTAGAGCTCCCTCGCTGTACTGGGTGGGGCAAGCGCACGCGGACACCGCCATTGGGGCGTTTGGTGGGGCTCGGCATGGGGCCATGGAACGTTTTACTGGGTGGGGCGTACGCATGCGGACACCGCCACTGGGGCCTTTGGTGGAGCTCCCCACGAGGCCACGAAACGTTGTACTTGCCGGGGGGGAGCGCATGCGGACACCGACACTGGGCTTTTCTGTGGAATGGGGCCACGGAAAGCTGCACTAAGTGGGGGAAACGCATTCCGGGCACCAGCAGTGGGGCCTTCGGTGGAGCGCCCTATGGGGCCACGAAGCGCTGCACTGGGCGGGGGAAACGCATGTGGACGCCGCTAATGGGGCCTTCGGTGGAGTCCCGCATGGGGCCACGAAACGCTTCACTGGGCGGGGGAAACGCATCCGAACCATGCCTTTGGAGCCTCTGGTGGAGCTCCCTTATGTGGCCACGAAACGTGTGAGGGTGTGCCAAAGTGGAGGGGCGGCATTCGAACCATGCCTTTGGAGCCTCTGGTGGAGCTCCTATGGGACCGCGAAACGTGTGAGGAGGGTACCCAAATGGAGGGGGGCATGCGAACCATGCCACTGGGGCCTTCGGTGGAGCTCTCTACCGGGCCACGAAACGTGTGAGGAGGGTACCAAAATGAAGGGGGGGCGGCATGCGAACCATGCCACTGGGGCCTTCGGCGGAGCCCCCTATGGGGTCACGAAGCGTGCGGTGCGTGTGTGTGTGTGTGCCAAAGTCGAGGGGGGGGCGGCATGCGATTCGGTGGAGCTCCCCATGGGGCCACGAAACGTGCGAGGCGTGTGCCAAAGCGGAGGGGTTGCGGCGTGCGAGCCATGCCAATATGGTCTTCGGTGGAACTGCCTATGGAACCACGAAGCGTGCGATGGGTGTGCCGGTCTGGAGGGGGGACGGCATGCTAACCATGCCACTGGGGCCTTCGGTGGAGCTGCCTATGGCGCCACGAAACGTGTGAGGGGTGTTCCAAAGTGAGGGGGGTAACGGGAGGAGGGAGAAGGGGGAGGAGGAGAATGAGGAGGAGGAGGAGGAGGAGGAGGAGGAGGAGAGAAGGATGAGACGCGGGGACTGCCTGTTCAAAGCGAGGACCCACCGCCACAGGAAGGTTGGGAAAACGGAGGCGCCCTCCATGCTTTTTACCACTGCAAGCTTTTCGCACGAATGCGCGGTGCCAAAGCGAGCGCCGAAGTTTGAAAAAGTTGACAATCAGCACGTCTCATTGTAATTGTTCCATGCTTTCGGCACGAATGCGCTCGACGCCAAACATCCACGTTGCACGTTGACAAATCCCACTCCACGTTTGTAACTGTTGAATGTGGTTCATGCGAATGTGCGCGGCGCTAGGGCGAAGCTTGACCTGCGGACGGCGACCACGGCGACGCCGACAGCGGCGACGCCGACAGCGACGACGACGACGACGACGACGACGACGACGACGACGACGACGACGACGACGACCGACCTTCGGTTCTCTCCTAGAGCGCGCTCTGGTCAGAATGCCGAGGGGCAGCCGGCTGCGGCAGCGGGTGTGCCCCGGGAGGCCCACGAGAGGCCCCCCGGCACGCACAGTCTCAGGAGGAAAAGAAACACACAGACACAATTCATCGTCGATTCCCCAGAAAACATAGGGAAATGTGGGAAGGGGGGGGGGGAAGACAGAAGCCCAGAAAAAGATCAGGAACTATGGGGAATCTTTTTACTTGTGTGTATTTATTTGTGTGCCCCAGGGCCCCTTCAGGCGTGTGGGCTCGCACGTGCCGGCCCGCGGTTCTGGCGAGCACGGCGCGCCGGACTCGCGCGTGCTCGGTCTACGACGTGCGGAGCTCCGTGTGAGCGCGCCGCGGGTTGCCAGTTGCGTCTCGGGGCAGCCGATCATCTGGGTCCTCGAATTATGGAGGATGACGGTTGATAATCGGGGGTGGACAGAACCCCCAACAGTGACACGTCGATTAGTGAACTGTCCGTTTTCGGTTCTCGAGAGGGTGCCGTGGCCGCTATTTTCCAGGCCTGCGCCCGCCAGGTTTGGGCCTCGGGTCGTTTTCACTAAACCACGTTTTACTAAAGGGGGGTCTGTCCATCCCCGAAATAAATGTCACGCGGCGGCGCCCGGGATGACGATGAGAAAAAACCGGCCGCGGGCTGGAAAACTATGTTTTTAATCGTTCTCTTCCGGTCGGAAAATTATTCAGAAACAGCAGGACAACTGTTTTTGTTGATCGTTCTCTCCCATTTTTTGATTGTCATCCCGCATTATCGAGTCTCGATTCTCGCTCCGCGACCCTCGAACGACGAGTACGATGTTTGCAGGCGGTGTTTCTCCCCCAACCCCAGACTTTTCGAGGAAACGCGACGCCGCTCAGAGAAGGAGGGAAACCCTGGGATGCACCCCAAGGGGGCCGTTTGCACGCACCCAAGGTCGAGGACGGAGGCCCGCCCCTCGGCTGTCCCAGGGCTCGGCCCCTGGTTCCTGGCCCATGCCAAAACCCAACGGAGCCTGGGACAGGGGTCGACACACAGTCAAGCCGCACAGTAAGGATGGGCAGCCTTCCCAAGGGTACGCTCGCATCCTTGCCTCCTCGGTCCATCCTTCGCCGCTGTCGCCGGCCGCGCCCCGCTCGAGAAGCTTCGAGATGGGCGTCCTCCAAGGCCCCAGCATCCTTATCGCGCGTCCTGATCGCGCATGCCAAGAAACCAGTTGGATTTTGGCAGGGTGCCCTGGGTTTCTTGGATTTCGATGGGCCCCCAATAAGATCTCGACGATTTTCGATCGACAAGTTTCGATTCTCAGGGAACAGATCGCGGATTCCAGGGTTGGCTCTCTTGCGGAGGCTCCTTGTGGCCGAGCCCCCACTCTGGGGGTCGACTGCCTTCCCTGCCATTAGGGAACAAAAAGTGGCATAAACATACAAACTCGGAGGTCCGCGCGGATTTCTCGGATCGGCGCTGGGGCCCCCCGGCGGCGCATCCGGCGCCGCCCCTGGCGCGCGGAGCGCGCCAGGGAGGGGGCCCCAGCGCCGATCCGAGAAATCCGCGCGGACCTCCGAGCTTTTATGTTTATGCCACTTTCTGTTCCCCTAAATATGAGGTCCCCAGGAATCCAAACTCTTTTCCCACGGCCGGTCTCTCATCCCGAGCCGTCTTTGGAGCGGTCTCTCATCCCGAGCCGTCCCGGACCTCCGAGTTTTTATGCTTTTGCCACTTTTTGCTCCCCTGTGTCAGCTTCTTCCGCAGCGGGGGAGCCTCGGCGATGCGCAGGCCGCGGCGGGCTCCGCGAGCCTGGAGGGCACGCCGCGCACCGAGCTGCCGGCCCTGGGCCCGAGGCGGCCCGCGGGTCGCCGCCGTCGGCGGCGGCGGCCGGCGCCCGCCGCCGCCGCCCTCTCTGCAGTGGCCTCTCGTCCTCCAGCAGGGGCGTCCTGGCTCGCCCGTAGGCCGCCTCCTCCCCGAAAGGGGGCCTCCAGGACTCCTGCCTCCTCCTCCGTCCTCCTCCTCCTCTCCTCCCTCCTCCTCCTCCTCCTCCTCCTCCGTCCTCCTCTCCTCCTCCTCCTCCCTCCTCCTCCTCCTCCGTCCTCCTCCTCCTCCTCCTCCTCCTCCTCCTCCTCCTCCTCCTCCTCCTCCTCCCCCTCCTGGCAAGAGGGCCCACATCCTCCTCCTCCTCCTCCTCCTCCTCCTCCTCCTCCTCCTGGCAGAAAATGTTCCGAGAACCTCTTGTGGTTTGCACGAGCTGTTCTTAGGACGTTTCTGGCTGGGACCGTCTTGTTTTAACATATCGGGTTCGCGCTCTAAGAACATTTTTTGTTCTCAGGACATGTCTGGGTTCTATAAAGAACACGTCGTGGTAGGCCTATAGGAATGCCGGGACGGTCCGTCCCTGCTCATGCTCAGCGTCCTCTTCCTCGGGTTCCTCGTCCGGTTCCTCGTCCTCCTGCTGCCGTTCCTGCTCCTCCGCCTCGTTCTTCTGCTGCCCTCTTCTTCCTTACTCTCCCTCCCTCCCTCCGTCTCTCCCTCTCTCTCTCAACGGCCGCTTGCACTGTGACGGAAGCTCATCGTCTTCGCCCCCCTTTCTCCAAGGGCGCCCTCGAGGGCGCAAAGTTATCCGCGCTTCGCGGTTTTGCTCCTGTTGCTCCTCATCCTCCTCTTCTCCCTTTGGGAAGCTGCGCGAGGGCGAGAAGTTATTCGTGCTTCGCGGTTCGGCTCCGATTCCTCCTCATCCTCCTCTTCTCCCCTGAGGGACACCCGCGTGATGCGAGCTTTAGCATCCGGGCCCACGGATACTCTGCTCCGATCTGTACGCGACAGTCTTCCTGCACGAGCGATATCGCCGATATTGGCGAGCTTTTGGAGCCCTGATATGGTCGTATATATAAATATGTGTATGTATATATATATATATACATTATGTGGGGGACTGCGCGAAAGCGCGAAGTTAGGCGCCCTTGTTCTCGCCAGCCTTTTTCCGAGACTGGCCGCGGGAGCAGAGACCTCCTTTTCCTTCTGCCTTTCCCTTGGTCTCCTTCCTCCCTCGCTCCTCCCTCTCGTCCTGTCCGTCCTCCTCTCCCTCCTCTTCCTCCTCTCCCTCTTTCTCCGCCTGCTCATCCTCTCCTCCTCCTCCTCCTCCTCCTTCTCCTCCTCCTCCTCCTCCTCCTCCTCTTTCTCCTCCTCCTCCTCCTCCTCCTCATCCTTCTCCTCCTCCTCCGCCTCCTCCCTGAAGCGGCAGTATTGGCTGTAGTGTTGGTCGTTCAGCGGGAGCGCTTCTCCTAGCTTGCCCAGAATGTGTGTGTGCGTGCCTGAATGCGAACGCTTGCCGATCCGCACTCCATTGCTACCCAGCTACTCTGGCTGGTTTCTCGCATGAGCATGCCTTGGTTCGAGCGAAGAGCGGAGGTGCGAGTGCCGTGTATGGTTCAATGAATGTGGTAACGCGCCTCTTGACTTCTGTTGCAACGGCGAGCCCTCGTTGGTCGTGCAGGAACCTCTGCAGAAAGGGCTTTCAGTGTTAGCTATCTCTTGCTCCGATCAGTCCAACATATTTGCTTGTGTCAAATGCAAGGCTTACGCCGCCTTGCGGCCGTTTATGCACATCAGCCACCGGCAGGAATAGCATATACCGTAGCACCCCGCAGTTGCGGATAAGAGTGAGGGGGCGGCGGGTACGTCGTCAGTCTGCAAGGCTCTGAAGAGGCCCGCCGTAGGCACATAATTTTTCAAGCTATAACGCGAGCCCGCCCCAGGCGCGACTTTTTTGTTAAAACAATTTGGGTGGGTCACGGCTTGGGTCGTAAGTGGGTCGACGGTGGGTCGCGGGTGGGTCGCGGGCCGGGTCGCGTGTGGGTCGCGGGTGGGTCGTGGGTTGATCGCGGATGGGTCGCGGGTGGGTCGCGGGGCGGGTCGCGGGTGGGTCGCGGGGTGGGTCGTGGGGTGGGTCGCGGGGCGGGTCGCGGGTGGGTCGCGGGTGGGACGACGACAAACAACAACAACAACAACAACAACAACAACAACAGCAACAGCAACAGCAACAGCAACAGCAACAGCAACAGCGACAACGACAACGACAACGACAACGACAACGACAACGACAACGACATCAACAAAGCAACACGCAGAATCCTCACCACTGATTCTCACTTAAGGCACGCACCCAGGGACAATGAATGACCGTTCGACCCCATCACTCTGATCCACGATAAGTGGGAGCTCCAGGCGGATCTGCACCCGAAACAGAAGGAGTGCACGCCAATGTATTATGCATAGCTCGCCAGAGGACGGACATGCCAAATGTTTGCAAGCTTGGACCCCAAGCAATACGTCACGGCAATGTGGGTGTGTAAGCTCTGTGGTACAAGTTGTGTGATGCAAGCTGTGTGGTGTAAGCTATGATGTGTGCGGCAGTCGGTGCAGCGTGGCACAAGGTGTGGTGCACAAGCTTCGTGGTGCAAGCCATGTGCTGCCAACCTGTGCGGTGCACGCGACGTGGTGCAAGCTCTGTGCCGTGCGGCACAGAGTGTGTGGTGTAAGCTGTTTCGTGTACGTTGTTTGGTATAACGTGTGTGTGTGGTGTGGTGTATAACGTGTGCGTGTGTGTGTGTGTGTGTCAAAAAGCGATCTGGCACGAGCTGCGCAGTTCAGTGTGTCCTGCCGCCCGGCGCACGGGGCGGCCAAGCGAGGCGCCCGCGGGCGGGCACCGGGCGGAACACCGGCTCGGGGCGGAACCGGGGCGAACCTCTGGAGCATTCATGCACTTCTTCAGGAGCACACAAGTCAGAACCCCTGCGTGCAGGCATTTGTCTGGGAATCTGGTTGCTCACCGTCGACGGTCTCCTCCCTGGTCCCTTCGCCCATTCCGCCTCGGTTTCCCTACCCTCGTTTTTTCTTCTCTTCCTCCTCCTCCTCCTCCTCCTCCTCCTCATCCTCCTCCTCGTCCTCCTCCCCCTCCTCCTCCTCCTCCTCCTCCTCCTCCTCCTCCTCCTCCTCCTCCTCCCATCATTTTCTCTTTCCAGTTCCTTCTCCTCCCCCTCTTGCTCGACCTCCTCTCTCGCTGCTCCTCCCCGCCTCCTCTCTCCTCATTCTCCTCTCGTCGTCTCATTTTCCTCCTGTCTGCTTCCTTTTATCACCCCCCCTTCTATGCCTTCCTATCGGTACCTTTCTGGTTTCCCCAGATCCCGCAGAGTGCTACTGGGATGACCGTGGGGGGGTCCAAATGGATGGGAGAGTACAAGTGGATGCCAAGGTGGATGATATCTGGCCCACCCTGGCTTATAAGTGGGCTACACATGCCCCAAGTAGCTTCGGGGTGTTAACGATCCGCGTTAAGTGGACTCCGACCACTTCGCGGAATTATCTAACCCGCCTGAGCCTCTCGAGGATTTTTGTCACCCACTTCTAAGTTAGGTTGTGCCATATATAACCCACCTCAGCATCCACCCGTAACGCCCCTATCCACTTAGAAACCTCCACGGTCATCCCAGTAGCACTCCGCAGGATCTGGGGAAGCCAAACTGTACCGATACCGCTACTCCCCAGACTTCTCATGTGGTGCGCTCTGACTAGGATTTCGAGGCGAATCCAGCGGCGGTGACGAGGGCCGCCCAGGGGGCCCCAAACGGGGAAAACGAGCGAAGGGTAGAGGCATGGGTGACTAGGTTTGGATATTAGATCTCCCCCTGAGGGCCAGACCTATCCGCCTCCAGCGATCCACGCCATCCACGGCGGCACATCCGCGGACGACGCCCGCCGCGCGGCCACGTGCGCGCGTGGGCTTCCCGCTAGCGCGGCCGCGCGCAGGAAGCGCCGGTGTGCCGCGCCAGCGGCCCGCGTGAGCTGCGGCGTGAGGTCGCGTGAGGTCACTACAGTTCCAGACCCCCTCGAGCCATGAAAAAATCAAGACGGAAGGTTTTTCGCTATTTTCGGCTTCTGGGGGCCCTTGCCGGGCCTCGGGGCTGTCAAAAAACGATTCAGGATGAGAAACGGATCCCGGGGAAGGGGTCGAGACCTCTGGGGGTCGACGTCATGAAAAAGTCATGACGTCGGGGGTCTGGGGTAGGACCGAGGTACAAGGACGGGTTCGGTTTGGGGAGGGTGCCCCAGTGTTCTTCGTGCCGACGGAGGGTCTCGTGTTCTTGGAGGAGGCTCTTCCTGCCCCAGGTCCGACTGTATGTCTTCTTGCGTACGAGCGGCGTATCTCCGTCGCTCGATAGGGTGGACAGGGGCGCACTCCCGACGTTGGAGCGGAGCTTCCCCGATCGACCGTCTGATCAGGTTCCCGCTGTGGAGCGCGAAGCAGGACATGCCCACCGAGGGCGAGGAGGGCCGCAGCATGCTGAAGGCATCCGGCCCCCCGCCGCGCCTCCTCGCACACTGCGCCTGCGCCCACGAAGCGGTAGCGCGAGGGGGGTGGGAGGAGGAGGAGGAGGAGGAGGTGGAGGAGGAGGAGGAGGAGGACGAGGAAGAGGAGGACTCCCAGCCGTCCGCCTGGGGGAGGAGAGTGCTCACGGGGCTTGATCTGATCGTGGCCAGGTGATAAATCGGGGCAGGTGGCTTGTCGTCGAGATTCGGCCCTTTGAATCTCCAGTACTGTCCAGTTCTGGCTAGCTCGTTGATTTGGTCACGGGTGTCAGTCAGGTTTAAGCTCTGTGGGGTCGGTGGCACGAACCCATGTGTTTTCATGTGTCGCAGGAGGAGGAGGAGGAGGAGGAGGAGGAGGCGGGAGGGAGCTTGCTTCGAAGGCGGGAGGGCTCTCAGAAGCCCCGGCGGCCTCTAAGCAGCTTTCCCAGAGGCACCCGGGCGCGCCTGAGAAGCCCCCCGGACTCTTTCGAGCCCTCGGCGGATCCTCAGAAGGTCGCCCCCCCTTGCCCCATCCCCTTGTGCGCGCCGCCGATGCTCCTCTCGCGCCCTCCTGGACTCCTGCTTCCACCAACCCTCCGAAGCTCCTGGAGCTCCTGAAGCTCCGCAGCGTCAGGAGCTTCAGAGACGGCAGGCGCGTCAGGAGCGTATTCCTCCTCGGCTGCCTCGTCGTCGTCGTCGTCGTCGTCGCCGTCCTCGTCTTCCGTCCTGCTGCGAAGCACCTGTCATGCGGACAATTCGCAGCACTCTCTACCTGCCCCGACAGCTAAACAGCACAGCTGCTAGCTCAGTTAGCCAGCTGATAAGCCAACCAACCTGCTACACGGACCACGCAGGATCTGAGGCGAATCTACAACCCGCATCCGTGCCCCCCCCCCCCCTTCTCTGACCCGACCCTCCACACCCACGGCAGCGGGCCGCAATCCGTCGTCCCCTTCTCCTCGACTCATGCGGATGCCGGCCAACCCATACTACGTATCCCTCCTCCGTCCTCATGGGCCCCTCTCCCGTCCATCATCCTTCGTTCCGCCCCATCCCCCTGCTCTTTCCTTTCCCCAACCCAGCCCGACGACTTTCTCCTCTAACCATCCGTGTGAGTCTCAAGCCGAGGCTCTAATCTAGATGCCTCTTTCCATGGGTGCCGCTCTGCGATGTCATGGAGAGAAGCGCCTACCACGTAAAGGTGTTCCAGATACCACTCTGCACACGCGTATTCCATCATCGCCTCCCTCTTCTCCGCCTTCTTCTCCAATATATAGTTTCTCAGTAGTTGCCTTCAACAGGCGACCAGATAGTCTCATGAGCTCACGAAGCAGCTTCGAAACTAAAGACTCCGTGGAGCGTCGAGCTTCGGCTCTGCGCAAGGTGCCACGCTTGGAGGGGCACGCAAACATTGCGCCGCACTTGCTCTCTGGACTCTTGCCCGCGGCGTCCGGGCTCGCAAAGCCCACGGTGCGGGGGCACCCTCGATTGCAGACTCCATTTCGGCCTTTATTCCCAGCATCCTGAGATGGGGTTCTTGTTGCCATTGTTTCCGCATGTTTGTGGGGTTATGGTTTCTTCACCTTCGCGTCACACCCGTGCTTCTCCCACACCCTCTCATCCTCACCTCCTCCCCTTTCCTCCTCCTCCTCATCCCCCTCCTCCTCCTTGCACCCTGCCCGCGTCACACCCACATCTCCTACTAGACGCATGCAATCCATGCTCGGCACTGACATGAGACACGCGGCCACGTACAGCCGTGCACGCATCACCCATACAAGCAGCACCCATACAGCACATATACACACAGGACCCATACGGGGCTTTGACATGATACACACGGCCACATCGAGCCGCACGCACACACACACACACACACCCACACCCACACCCACACCCACACCCACACCCACACCCACACGCACACGCACACTCACACGCACACGCACACGCACACGCACACGCACACACGCACACACGCACACACGCACACACGCACACACGCACACACGCACACACGCACACACGCACACACGCACACACGCACACACGCACACACGCACACACGCACACACGCACACACGCAACCACGCACACGCACACACGCACACACGCACACGCACACACGCACACACGCACACACGCACACACGCACACACGCACACACGCGCACACGCACACGCGCACACGCGCACACGCGCACACGCGCACACGCGCACACGCGCACACGCGCACACGCACACACGCACGCACGCACACGCACACACACGCGCACACGCGCACACGCGCACACGGCACACGCGCACACGCGCACACGCGCACACGCGCACACGCGCACACGCGCACACGCGCACACGCGCACACGCGCACACGCGCACACGCGCACACGCGCCCACGCGCACACGCGCACACGCGCACACGCGCACACGCGCACACGCGCACACGCGCACACGCGCACACGCGCACACGCGCACACGCGCACACGCGCACACGCGCACACGCGCACGCGCGCACACGCGCACGCGCACGCGCGCACGCGCGCACGCGCGCACACGCGCGCACGCGCCCACGCCGCACACGCGCGCACACGCGCGCACACGCGCGCACACGCGCGCACACGCACGCGCGCACACGCGCGCACACGCGCGCACAACGCGCACACGCGCGCACACGCGCGCACACGCGCGCACACGCGCGCCACACACGCGCGCACACGCGCTCGCGCACACGCGCGCACGCGCACGCGCGCACACGCGCAACGCGCAGCGCGCACGCGCACCCGCACACGCGCGCACACACGCACACACGCGCACACGCGCACACGCGCACACGCGCACACGCGCACACGCGCACACGCGCACACGCGCACACGCGCGCACCGCGCACGCGCGCGCGCGCACACGCGCACACGCGCACACGCGCACACGCGCACACGCGCACACGCGCACACGCGCACACGCGCACACGCGCACACGCGCGCCACGCGCGCGCCACGCGCACACGCGCCACGCGCACACGCGCACACGCGCCCACGCGCGCCCACGCGCCCACGCGCCCACGCGCCCACGCGCCCACGCGCCCACGCGCCCACGCGCCCACGCGCCCACGCGCCCACGCGCCCACGCGCCCACGCGCCCACGCGCCCACGCGCCCACGCGCCCACGCGCCCACGCGCCCACGCGCCCACGCGCCCACGCGCCCACGCGCCCCACGCGCCCCACGCGCCCACGCCACACACCACACACGCCCACACCCACACACCCACACACCACACACCCACACACGCACACACGCACCACACACACCACACACCCACACACACCCACACACCCACACACCCCACACACCCACACACCCCACACACCCAACACACCAACACACACCCCAACACACCCAACACACCCAACACACCCAACACACCCAACACACCCAACACACCCAACACACCCACACACCCAACACACCGCACACGCGCACACGCGCACACGCGCACACGCGCACACGCGCACACGCGCACACGCGCACACGCGCACACGCGCACACGCGCACACGCGCACACGCGCACACGCGCACACGCGCACACGCGCACACGCGCACACGCGCACACGCGCACACGCGCACACGCGCACACGCGCACACGCGCACACGCGCACACGCGCGCACACGCGCACACGCGCACACGCGCACACGCGCACACGCGCACACGCGCACACGCGCACACGCGCACACGCGCACACGCGCACACGCGCGCACACGCGCACACGCGCGCACACGCGCACACGCGCACACGCGCACACGCGCACACGCGCACACGCGCACACGCGCACACGCGCAATCGCACACGCACGCGCACACGCACACACACACACACACACTGACACACGTGATGCACATACACAGGACACACGGACACAGACCGAGATCACCTACATGAAACGCACACTGCACAATACATACGCGTAGGATTTGCAGGGCGTGGCAGGCGTCGCGCTTTCTCGACAACAGAGGGTGTGCGCAGGGGGTGGTCCCTCGGCACGGTCTCTATGCGTGCCAGGGTCGGAAAGCGTGCAGGCGTGGCACTTTGTCGACATACAAGAAGGTGCGCAGGGGTTGGTCCCTCGGCGCTGTCGCTCTGCGTGCCAGGGTCGGAAAGCGTGGCAGGCGTGGCACTTCTTGTCGACACCAGAGTGAACGCGCAGGGGGTGGTCCTTCGGCGCTGTCGCTCTGCGTGCCAGTGTCGGAAAGCGTGACAGGCGCGGCACTTCCTCGACACCAGAGGGGGTGCGCAGGGGATGGTCCCTCGGCGCTGGCTCTATGCGTGCCAGGGTCGCCCCGCGGGGCTGGGGGGGGGGGAGGGGCGCGGCCGCCGCGGGGGCCTTGGGCGTTCCAGCGCCACGGGCCGCCGCACCACCGACCAATAGGAAGCGCACACATTGTTCATTTCTAATTGTTCGAAAGTTCTTTGGTTGTTTGGGGGGCTCAAGATCCTTTCATTTCTGATTGTTCTACCCTTGGCCTCTTCCTGGCCACTAGGGGGCCAGGAACAAGTAGAAACGAGCAGAATTAGAAATGAGCGCGATTAGAAATGAGCGACGTGTAGCTCCCAGAGGCTGAAGATGTCGCCCGCCCGAGTTTTTGAGATTTTTGCCCCGCGTGCTCTAGTTGTTGTTGTTCCCTGCGCGTTTGCGCCTGCGCCCTGTTCCCCTGCTTCCTCTGACCCTTCCCTCTGGTTTTTGGCGTGAACACGCCCGCCGCGCAACATATCGTAGAGACTGGCGGAAGACAACATCGCACAACCACAGCTTGACACATCTTCGCTATTATCGTTCCTCCTTTCCCTCTCCTCCCTTCGTCTTCTCTCCTCCACTCTGCCCCCCTCCCTTGTTTCGGTCTGCCCCCCCTCCCTCCACCTTCTTCCTTGTTTCGGTTGTCAGCCTCCCTCTTCGACCTTCCTGGGGCCCTCCTCCTTTCCTCCTCCTCTCTCGCTGCCCCCATCCCCCTCCCTCGCGCTCCACCCCGCCCCCCCTCCCATCTCTCAGGCAGGAGGAGGAGGAGCAGGAGGCTGCAGCCTCCTCTTCCCACCCCCCCAAAGGAGAACGGGGAGGAGGAGGAGGAGGAGGAGGAGGAGGAGGAGGACGAGGACGAGGACGAGGACGAGGACGAGGACGAGGAGGAGGAGGAGGCTCCACCCCGCCCCCCCTCCCATCTCTCAGGCGCCCCTGCACGAGCTCCAGGACCCGAGCTGGCAGCCCGAGCCTCTGGACCTGCCCGGCGGCAGGAGGGCCCGGGCGGCCGGGCCTCCCGAGGGGTGCGCGGCCGAGGCCGGCTGGCCCACGAGCGGTCCTGAACCCTCCTCCTCCTCCTCCTCCTACCTCTCCTCCCCCTCCTCCCCCTCCTCCTCCTCCTCCTCCTCCTCCTCCTCCTCCGTTTGTTTCCTCCTCGTCCTCCTCCTGCCTCATCCCTCGTCCTTTCCTCCTGCTCCTCCTGCCCCGTCGTCCCTTCCTCCTTCTTCTGCTCGTTCGCCTCCTCCTCCTCCCTTCCGTCGTCCCTCTTCCCCTTCCTACTCCCTGCTTCTCCTCCTCCCTCCTCAGCCTCCTCCGTTTTTTTTGTTCCTCCTTCCTCTTGTTCCCCTATCCTTGTCCCTAGTCCTCCTCCCCCCCCTCCCCTGGCCGGCGAGGGTTCTCTCCCTTGTCCCTCTTCCTCTCCCCCTTTCTCTTGCCCCTCATCCTGTGCCTCTCCCTCTTCCTCCCTCTTGTCCCTCTCCATGGCTGCCCCTCCCCTTCCCCTCGCCTCCCCCGACCCGAGCCTTGGCCGGCCACGCGAGGCGGCCGCCGCGGGCGCGGCGGGCCAGCAGCAGCACCATCCCGAGGGCGCGCCGCCCGCCCTGGGTCGGCGTCGCGCCGTCTGCGCCGATTCTCGCCGTCAGCGGTCGTGGTCGCCGATGGTCGTCGTCGTCGCCGATGGTTCGTCGTCGTCGTCGTCGCCGATGGGGCCACGGACTGCTCGAACCGCGCACGAGGCAGTGGCCCACGCCCCATCCTCCATTTTTCCTCCCCGCTGCAGTGCCCCAGGGCACTGCCTGGTGGAATGGCGGTGCAGACGCACCGGTTGTTTCTGGCGCTGAGCGGTGTGGCAATGGCGGACCCCACGCATCACACGACGGTTGAAGACCTCGGCCCGACCGCCGCCCCGCCTATGAGACCAGTGCACAGCACGATGATCGCATGATGGAGCCCGTTCAGCTTCAAGAGCCACAGGGCGCCTGGACGCCGTCAGCACAGAGTTCCGCAACACGGACACAGCATTCGCCCCAGGCACGGAGATCCGCAGTCGAGCGGACACACCTCATGTCGATAATCGGTGGAACATCGTACACGTATTTATGCAGGTTGGACCCGCGCCGCTGGCAGCAACGCCAGTGCAGGCTTCAGTATTGGACTCAAAACGGACCTACCGTCAACAGGACATCATACGAGTCGCTAGTGCACCGCAGCACCTGCAGGGCCGAGGCGGGAGCCTGGAAGTACAAATGGGGGCCGTATAGAGGACGATATCTTGTTGCCTACTTCCCACAACGGCCTCAGCTCGCACGCGGTCATCCATTCTGGAAGAGTTCTTGTCACCAACTGTGGAAATTGACCATTTCGTATCACGCCAAAGCGAATCGTACCCATCACGTTCAGCGATATGGGCTTCCGATTTGGACAGATTGGCAGCACCACGACCACCGACGGCAGCATCGGACCGTACCAACCTGGACATGGGAACGGCGAAGCTCGGTACGCCCACGGATACATGAACAAGCACGAGCTGTGGACCATCAACATTTTGCGGAGTCTTGGCGCAAGCTGTTTTGGTAATCGAGCCTCGCGTGGCCGCGTCGACTGCTCCATTTGGTCCATCAGCTCGAAGCGCGTCGCCACCAACGGGACCAGGGCATGGCATGCTTAGCGACGCCTACGCACAGTGCACGTCATCCACCATGTCCCTATGATACTCGCGGTGCGCAGCACAGCTCCTAATAAGCACCAACGTACCGCTCAACCTCGTTGGGATTGGGACAGTTCGCAGCATGCCTACAGCAGGGACGTCGGCGACCCGAGTTATTTCTAGTCTTATTTGCCGGATGTGAACAAGACTAACCGGATAACTTCTGGGCCACGAGGACAGCGAGCGCATCAGCGCACAGCGCCTCGCCTCGCCGAAGCCCCTGCTCGCCGCCCCAAGTGCATGGCACCTCAAGTAGAAGCTAATACGGGGCACGCTCTCCTTTTTCTTTCACTGGCTCACGTTCGCACGACCTGCGGTGTCCCTGTTCAAGCAACAACAAGCCAGGTGGTCACGATATGAAAGCAGGCACAAGCGGCCCAGCGGCCATGAGTTTCACGACGCGATTGCCCCCGATTGCTACGCAGTTTCTGCCGTTGGCGGCGAGTTCACCATGTAGCTGGGTTGCGCGAGTACGGTGGCACCTGCAATGCCGACAACGCGGACGAGAATGCCTCTCGTTCTTGCTGAAGATGGCTACGTTGCGCTTCCGCGCCGCTAGGCGCAGCTGCCTCGACGACGCAGTCGCCGCCGACAACCAGTCCGACTTGTTCCAGGCCCACTGCGACCGTGTCGACGAGATTTTTTCCGAGCGCGGCGACAAGGCCCGCTCTTTTTCCAACGCGCGCGTTTCCGGGGCGCCCGCGCGATGAACAACATGCGGGAGAATGGGAGACAGCGGCGAACAAACCGCATGCATAGCAGCGCTCCAGCATGGAACCGACGCATGGCCGGGGAAAAACAGCCAAGTTTTCCGTCGGCGGAATCGCGGCTCAACGCCCGAAGCAGATCTCCATGGGCACTTTCCTTGACGACACGATCCGCATCTGCGCGCCCCCCGCCCAGGGGCCCCGCGCCAGGCGGGCGCTTGCCGTAAAGGACCTGGCCAACGCCGCGGTCGACAAGCGCATCCACCAGACGGGCCGCCGCCAGAACATCGAGATGCAGGGCGTCACTGCGCGCGCCGCCAGCGCCGCCGCGGCAGGGGGCATCGGGCAGCGCATCGTCAGCGCCCATTTCCAGCATGGCCCACCTGGGCGGGCAGGTGACCGCCTCGTGCTCCGAGTTCGCAAGGAGAGCGCCGATTCTTCCATTCGTGGTTGGACGAGTCTGGGCGCGCATTGGACTAGCCCTGCACTCTGGGGATACACGCGCAGCGCGTTCATCATTGACGTTGCTGGGCGCGCATGGTCTGCCCCCGGAAGTTGCTTTCTTGCGCGCTCAGAGATTAAAAATCCGACGCGCGTTTCGCAGAGAAGACGAGGGCCACGTTGTCGGGCCAGTCCCATGAGGAAGACGAAGGAAGAGCCGGAGTTGGAACGCAGGCGCGAATGGCCATTCGAACCGACCGCAGTGGATCTGATGATCAAACGCCCTACTCGGTGGCAGATTTTAGAGGACCCCGCGTATCATTGTTAATGTCTGGCAGACTTATGATGGGATCGGCGAGCGTGCTGGCGGTCCCCGTGCACGTCGCCCTAGATGGCATTTCGTGGCGCAACGACTCGGGGCCTGCCTGCAGATGACCAGGAGTTCGGCGGTGCATGCTGGGAGTGCGAGCTCCTGGCCCCGTTCAGATGTTCGCGAGGTTCCCACCTGTTCATCGCCTCACTACTAGTCGCGCACAGCGTGACCTCGCCATGGCAGAATCATCACCACCTTATACTTCGTCGCCATCCACGACAAGCGCCATGGCTGTTCGACGACACTCTCGCGCGTAGATCACTGCCAACGCAATATCTCACCACCATGGAAGGCAAACGGACGCAGCCCCGAACATGCGCATCGCCGATACGGATGGAAACTATCGAGCGCGAAGCGATGCCCGTTATCATCCATTTGCGAGAAACCTGAGCGTCGCGCAACCTCTCGCGACCAGAACCCTTGCAACGTCATTTACAGATCATGCCACTCGTGCTCCGTTGGGTGCCAGACTGAAGCTGCTACGCATCAAAAGCCAGCCTGCTGTCGCTCTCCGCTATCCCACGCACATCGACCTGCATGTCTTTCAGAAGCGCATGGCGCTGCGGGGCGCCCGCTTCATGATTAAATCTGCGCTGCGTGTTTGACGCCGCCGCAAAGAGCCCTTTCTACGCCGAGACCGAAGGCGCGTGCCTTATCGGTAACCAGTACTCCCTGCACTACAACCTCGCATGCGCCATGGCTCACGGCGACTGCCACCTCCAGCCCGGTGCTGCCAGTGCCGCTGCCTCGCCAGCTTGCATTTCCTGGCCATTGAGATGGCGGCCGCGGCGGCAGCCGCGCTCGGCGCGCCAGCGGCGCCTGGCGCGAGGTGCGGGCCGCCGCCCGGGGTCCTTCCAGGCGTCGGGGCACTCTGGCAACGACGACAGGCAGAGCAGTCGCGAAGGCTGCCAGCGGAGTGGCAGTCACGAGCAACGACGAGATGAAGGCGTGTCTGACGAGGAGGGCCCGACGAGGGACAGGATCGCAAGCGGGAGAAATAGTGAGGACCTGCGCGAGCGCGCAGAGGGCCCGCGTCCGGAACGCGGCCGCCCTGGGCGCGCTGGCGACGCCGAAGACTCAGCACCCTCGCGGTCGCTCTCGCCGCAGAGCTTTAGAACTACCGAGGCCATCTCGGCTGCGAAATTCCATGGTGGACCAGGAGAGCAGGCGAGGCTGGAAACGGTCGGGTCGCCCTCGCGCTGACCGAGACGCTCGGCACCCTGGACATCGGCGCCGCATTCAAGGGCCGCGTCAAGAACTACCCCAAGCACTGCCATCACCTCGGCCCGGCGAGAGCACCGCGCCGACCGTCTCCAAGGATCAGCTCGAGGCCGCCGCAATATCGAGAAGCGCCACAACACGAAGCTGACCAAAGTGCTGATCATCGCCCCGAGGGCGGAACTGCGAAAGGCCGAGGAAGTTCCGACGCACCGCCTGGGGATAAGGTGGCCAGATCTTCTGGGCCGCAGGTGAGGATGAGGTTTGTTCTCGGCGAAACGATGACTGGCACCTACCCCCCCTCGCACTCGAGATCTCCCCCTCCCGAGCCCGAGCCAAGCCAGCCCGAGCAATATGGTTTCCCCCGGCGACGATGGAGATAGTGGAGCAGCGATTTCTTGGTTCGGTCAAAGACCGTCGCCGCGAGGCACGCCCAACCCTCAGCTTTCAGCGCATGGGTGAGCACCGTCCCGCGCGACCCCACGCAGTAAGGATATTTATCCTGGGTGCTGGTTCTAAGTTCACTTTGTTATTTCGTTGTTAGCCACCAGGGACTACTTTTTTGCGTTCAGTATACAGTCGCCGTCCTGGTCACACCTATAGCTCCAGAAGCCGATGAAAAAAGTCGTCGCCGATGGTCGTTGTCATCGTCGTCGTGGTCGTGGTCGTCGTAGTGGTCGCGAATCGGAGGGGATTTCCTTCGTGTTCGGCTTCAGGTCCGCCAGGAATCTGCCTGGGATGAAAAACTGCCCAGGGCTGACCGATGTTGAGCGGGTTTCGTCGGTTGTCATCGTCGCCGTTTTCCCCCCTCCCCGTCCTGTGCCTTCCTCCCCTTCGTTCGCCGTCGGCGTCGCCGAGGTCGTCGTGTTGGTCGTGGGCTTTTGCGGTCGTGGGCGTCGTCGTGGCAGGAGGTGGGGGGCTGCCATGGTGGGAAGGGGTCTTGAGGGAATTGAGTTTCACAGTTGTTCCCATTCAGGCTCCCGAAGCCGCAGGACCCAAAACAGCTTCTCAGGATGAAGAACTGGTCGTGTCTTTCGTGTCGGGACCAGGACTCGAGGTCCAAGGCTCGTGTCTTCTGGGTCAAGACCAGTTTTTTCGTGGCGAGAAAGAGCGGGATAGAAAGGGCGAGAGAGAGAGAGATCAAACAAAATAGAGGAAGAGGGATGATAATGAGGAGCAGGAAAGGAAGGAGGAGGAGGAGGAAAAGGAGGAGGAGGAGGATCAGGAAGAGGAGGAGAAGGAGTGGGAGGAGGCGGAGGAGGAGGAGGAGGAGGAGGAGGAGAGAGGAGAGAAGAGGAGGAGGAGGAGAGGAGCAGGAGCAGGAGTGAGGAGGAGGAGGAGGAGGAGGAGGAGGGAGGAAGGAGGAGGAGGAGGGGAGGAGGAGGAGGAGGAGGCGGAGGGGGAGGAGGAGAGGAGGAGGAGGAGGAGGAGAGTGGAGGAGGAGGAGGAGGAGGAGGAGGAGGAGGAGGAGGAGGAAGAGGAGGAGGAGGAGGAGGAGGAGGAGGAGGAGCAGGAGGAGGAGGAGGAGGAGCAGGAGGAGGAGTAGGAGGAGGAGGAGAAGAGGACGAGAAGAGGAGGAGGATATAGAGCAGGAGGAGGAGGAGGAGGAGGAGGAGGAAAAGGGGAGGGAGGTTGGTGTCGTCTTTGCCGTCTCGTCGCCGTCGTCGTTCGCGGCGGCGTCGTCCAGGGAATCGAGGTTCGAGCATCAGAATCGAAAGCGATTTGGGATTAGTTGGGCGTCCCCGGGGGGGGCCTCCCGATTTTTTCCGGCCTCGCCGCGCTCGGCGATCGCCAGACGTTCTCGTCGGCGGTGGCCGCGTCGTTGTCGTTATCTGTCCTGTCCGTCGCCTTTTTCTTCTTACTCGTCGTTTTCGTCTTCCACTTCCCTGTCGTCCTGCTCCTTTCTGTTCCCCATGCTCCTCCATCCCTTTTCCTTGTGGGCAGCTCCTTCCTGTCGCACCCCTGAACGCGTCGGTAATTAGGGCAGGCTCAGCGTTTCGCCTGAGCCGTCCTCACCGCTTGTGAGGCTGAAGCCTGAGGTGTACAAAAGCTTCACGGGATGGACGGCGGGCCGTTTGCAACATGCGGTTCTCGCGTCGGCGCCGCGCACGTTCGTTTTAATTTGACGTCGGGCCTGTCCCTGTACAGGGGGGATATTCAAAAAATGTAAAAACATAGTTTGGGGACCATGTCTTGAGCATTGCTTCCTATGTTTGAAAAATTGAGGGTTATTTCAAATGTTGTTTCCAAAATCCCCCTGTGGGGGGACATGCCCGACTTACTTGTAAAAACGTGTAACAGTTTCCGGGATGGAAGTCGTGCGGCTTTCTAGATGGTATTCTCGCTTAAGGGCCGCGCACATTCGTTTTCACCGCTTGTAGCGGTGCCAAGGATGAAAGGCGGCGCTTTGTTCAATGTGGCTCTCGCCGTAGCGCCGCGCGCATGTTTTCTTGAAGTTTGCAACGGTTCAAAGGGTTCGCGTCGCCGAAGTCAAAGAAACGGTGCCCTGGCAAGATTCTGCAACGTCAGGACGGAATGTTCACGCTGATTCGCGGTGTTGCAGTCCCAGGAATGGCGATGTGGCCCGATTGCGGATTCTCAGACGGTTGTTTTCAAAGCAGGTATTACCAGTAAAAACAGAGTGAAGAGGCCAAACGGTCATTCAATGTCCTTGGGTGCGTGGCTGAAGCGAGGTTGCGCGGTGCGGATTGCTGTTGCGTTGCATTCTCACTGCTACAGAATAAGTGTTGTTGATCCCTCCCCTCGGGTAACCATTGTATTTTTCAATTGAAGGGCTTCTCCCAGGGCTTGCACCCTGTTTTTTTAACATGGGAAAGTGAAGGGCCACCAAAATATGTCCTTGGACCCCGGTTTTCAAACACAGCAGCAACAACAACAATGACAACAACGGCTCCCGCCTGAGTGTTCGCGCGGGATTTCCTCACAATGTATCCGGGAATCGCGCTTTCGCGTGGGACTTCCTCGCAATTTATTCAGACGCCGCGCCCTCGACACTCAGGAATCACCCTCTCGCTGTAGATGTCCTCACGATTTATTTGGAAGTCGCGCTAGCGCTCGAGACATCCTCGCGATTCATGCAGGGCGCACGCTTCAGCAACCCGCCTACTCGACCTGGCCGCATGGGCCCTTCTTTCCGACCCGCCTGTTAGGGTCTACCCGCCCGATCTGAACCCCTGGTTTCGCCACTTCCTTTCTGCTCCTAGCCCCCTCTCCTGCGGCTCTCTCTCTCTCGTGCTACATCCCTTCATCCGTCCTCTCTTCCCTCCCCCCTTCCATCCATCCTTCCATCCACCATTCCATCTATCCCTCCATCCCTCCATCCGTCCATCCTCCCATCCACCCTTCCATCCGTCCGTCCTCTCGTCCTCCATCCATCCACCCTTCCATCCACTCTCGTGCTCCATCCCTCCCCCCTGCCCCTTCCTTCCATCCGTCCTCTCTTCCCCTGCCTTCGGGGCTGCACGAAATACACGTTGCAGGCAAGGAAGATATACCCCTAGGGGGTCATGATCGAAGACGAAGAGGGCGGGTATCGAGGGTTTGGGGTTTACGTGTTGAATGGCACGCGAGCAGATGAGAGCGAGCAGTCTTAATACGACTGGTGCTGTTGCTGTTGGTTTTTGGCCCGGTCTCATCTCAACCAAAAAATTGGTCCCCCCCGTGACCACTGCACTTTTCAATTGAAGTGCCCCTCCTGGGGCTCGCACCCTGTTGTTTTTCTTATCAGGGGGAGTCTGTGGTCACCAGACAGCGCGCGTGGCCCTGGGTTCACAACAACAGTGGCTCCCGACCGATATGTTTTTTCACAGTGTAGCTCAGAGTCGCCTCTTCTCGCGCAGGACTTCCTCGCAGTGTCGCGCTCTCGCGTGGCACTTCTTCACAAATCCCTGCAACGCCGTGCCCCCAAGACTCACACATTACTCTCTCTCTCGCTCTGGATTTGCAAACGATGTGCTTGGGAATCGCGTTAACGCTCGAAGCAACCTTCATGATGGCGTGACGCTTCAGCGACCCGCCCGCTCGACCTGGCCGTCTGGGCCCGCCCGCCTGGCCCCTCAGGGCCCGCCCGCCCGACGCGCCGAGCTGGTTCCGCCGCCTGTGCTGCTGCTCGTGACCCCCTTCCTGCAAATCTCGCCCGTGCTCCATCACTCCTCCCCTCCGTCTCCTTGTCCTTTGTCTCTTCGCTCCTCCCCCTTGCCTCCTCACTCCTCCCTGCAGCTCCTCCCTCCTCCCCTCCTCCTCTCGCGGCCTTGCCCTTTGCTGCCTGGCCCCCCGCCCCCCCTTCCTGGCTCGCGGGCTCGAGTTGCCTGTGGTGCTTCGCCCACGGGTGGTATTGGTCGTCCAGTTGATGGTCTTGACTGGCCGCGCGGGCCTCGGGTCCAGCTTGTTGCGAGGATGTCCAGCCTCTTCCTGCTGTTCCCCATGCCGCCACCGTCAGCGGTGGTGTGTTTCCGTTCAGCTGGCATTGCTGCTGGCCTTTTGTTTCGGCGAGTGCTTTCGTCGCTGTGCCATGCCAGATCTGCCCGAGCTGCTCGCGCTTGGTTGGGGCTCCCGGCTCCGCGTGTCCTGCCCCTGGGTGTTCCACGGCAGAGGCCGGTCCATGCGATGCCATGCTTCGTGCCTCAGGCTTGTTGATTTGATGCAGGTTTGTGGCACATTTTAGCGGAGCAGGCTGGCAGGTCCCGCATTGCCAGCCAGAGGCGCTCAGCGAAGGTCACAAAAATCTCTCTTCTCCTCCTTTCCCTGTTGTAGGTGCTGCGCAAACTACACGCGGCAGGTAGGAAAGATGTACCCCCAAGTGGGGGTACGATCGAAGACGAAGAGGGCGGGTACCGAGGGCTGGGGATATACTTGTTGAATGGCACGCGAGCAGATAAGAGCGAACAGTCTTAAAACGATTGTTGTTGTTGGCGGTGGTGGTGGTGGGATTGGCGCTGCTGCTGCTGCTGCTGGCAAAATTTGTGGTTGTCGTCGTCCCACTCGCGACCTGGCCCGCGACCCACACGCGACCTGCCCGCGACCCATCCGCAACCCGCCCGCGACCCACCCGAGACCCACCCGCGACCCAGCCGCGTTCCACCCGGGACTCACCCAAGACCCACCCGCGACCCACCCGCGACCCACCCCGCGATCCACCAGCGATCCGCCAGCGACCCGCCCGCGACCCACCCCGCGCCCGCCCCCCCCAACTCTGGGTGCTACATACATTCCTGCAAGGCCCTGTGAAGAGGGAACTTGGGGAGAGGCATTACTACAACTTCGTTGGTGCGTCTTGGGTTTACACTGGTCCTCCTCCGACTCCTCCTGCTACTTTCCCTCCCACTCTTCGTTTCTCGTTTACACCGGTTCTCCCTCTCCTCGTTTCCCTCCCACTCCCACTTTCCATCCGTCGTCGCCGTGCGCCTTCTCCCCCTCCTCCTCCTCCTCCTCCTCCTCCTCCTCCTCCTCCTCCTACTCTTCCTCCTCCTCCTCCTCATCATCATCCTCCTCTTCCACCTCCTCCCCCTCTTTCTTCTGCTCCTCATCCTCCTGTTCTTTCTCCTCATTCTCTATTTCCTCCTTCTCCTCCTCCTCCTCCTCCTCCTCCTCCTCCTTTCCCTCCCACCTCCCCCTCGCCATCCGTCGTCGCCGTCGTCCCTCCCCCCCTGTGCTCCGCTCCCCTCCTGGGAGGCTGCCCGGAGTCCTCTTCCGCCAGAGCGGCCTGCGCGGAGGACGCGGGCGGGAGTTCCGCGCCATGCGCGCTCGCCTTGCCCCCCCCCCCCCCGCGGGCTCGGCGAGCGTCCCGCCAACCGCTTGGGCAGCGCGCCCGTGCAGCTCCCCAGACAGCTCCAGCTGGCCGCCCTGCCCCCCCCGGCTGGAGCAGTCTGGGGGCCAGGGGTGGCCCAGCACTGGTTCCGGTCAGCAGGAGGGGCGGGCAGGCTCGCGGTTCCTGGCTCGGGAAGGCGTGTGTTAGCTTTCTGCTTCTAGGAGGGGGGGGGGGGCGCTTGTCGGGACCCCCGGGGGTGGAGCTCGGGGGCCGAGCTTGAGCGGCATCCCCGTCGCCCCAGGAGGGGCTGGCCGTTACCGACGGGAGCGCCGCGCCCGCGCCGCCGGCGCTGCAGGCGCTGCGCTCCTGCCTGCAGAGGCAGCGGCAGGGCTGCGCGGCGCCGCCCCACGGGCGCCAGCCCGAGGGCGACGAGGACGCCGAGAGGGCCAAGGCAGCAGGGGGCAGTCGAGCAAGGGATCGATCGGAGGTGGATCGACCTCCTACCCTGACATGTCGGTTAAGGAATTGGCCGTTTTCGGTTCGCGAGAGGGCGTCGCGGCCGTTATTTTTGCGGGTCCAGGTCCGTCGGTTTCGGTCCCAGGCCGTTTTCACTAAGCGGAGGTCTACTAAGGGGGCCAAGGCAGCGGAGGGCATGCGAGCAAGGGTTCAGTCGGGCCTGTCCCTCTACAGGAGGAATCTTCAAAGATAGTCAAAACATAGTCTGGGGACTGTTTTTGGAGTATGGTTTGACCATTTGGGAGCATTGTTGAGATATTTTTCATTGTTCGTCGCAAATCCCCTCTGTAGGGGGGCACGCCCGACTTACAGCGGCGAAGCGCCCTGGCTCGTCGAGGGGCCTACCAGAGGATGCTCTGAGAGCCTTTTTTTGTGGCTTCCACGAAGTGTGCTCAGCTTCAGCCAGCTGCCTGGTGCCCCAGCTCAGAATACGCCTGGCGGTTGCGGCTTCCACGCAGTGTGCTCAGAACACGTCTGGCGGGGCCTGTCCTGCCTTATTTTAGCACATCGGGCTTGTGTTCTAAGAGCATTGCTTCTTGTTCTTAGCACGTTCTTCACCACCCACCAAACCACCCCAACCCAACCCGAAGGCTCAGATTTACCCTCGATTTCCAGTGTGGAGGGTCGGGAAACATCGAAAAAACAGATGTGGAACCCTTCCCCCTCAACCCGAAATTCGGGTCTTCGGGTTGAGTTGGGGTGGTCTGGTAGGTCGTCAGTTCTCGGGTTCTAAGACAATTTTGTGGTAGGCTTATAGGAATGCCGGGGCGGTCGGTCCCTGCGCAAGCAGAGGGCATTCGAGTAAGGGATCGACAGCAGAAGTGATTCGCCCAAATTGGATTTTTCAGTCGGCTCTTACACGCATTTGTGTAGAATCGACGAAAAATCAACTCTGGAGTAAGTCGATTCTGCACTCGATTCCCTACTCGAGGCATGGGCCCTGCGTTTCTTTCCTCTCACCCGTCGCCTCGTCGGTCGTTGCCCCCTCCGTGCTCGTGTCCTCGTCCTTGTCGTCCTTTGGATTTTGTGTCGACGGCAAGCGAGGGGGGAGGGTGAGAAGGAGAAGGCCTTCTCGCAGAAGGCTCGGAAGTCCCCCGGCCTTCTGAGAAGTGCTCTAAGCTCTCCCGAAGGTGCAGAACATTTGTCGGAAGGCGCGAGAGCTTCTGAACAGTTCCGCCGCCTTCCGAGAAGGCCTTCTCCTTCTCACCTCTCCCCTTCGCTCGCCGCCGATTGTAGACCGGCGCGGGGCTATCCCTTGCGCGCTCGTCCTCTGCGCCCATGTGCGGGCACGCGAGCAAGGCTGTCGGCTGCTCGACCCTAGGGCATGGGTGGACAATCTCGGCAGACGGCGGCGTTGGGCCCGGCCCGCCGGGGTCCCAGGACGTCGTACAGTCAGGACGCTGAAATAAGGAACTGTTTGGGTTCGGAAGGGGCTCGATGTTCTCCAGGTTCCTCCATTGCTGTCCCTCTCGCCCTCCTCGGGCACGGAGGTGCTTGGAGGGCCAGAATGGGGCTTCGTTCCTCATTTAGCGTTCCTTCTTTCAGCGGCCCGACTGTATCCCTGGGCGGTAGATGTAGGTAATCCCTGCCTCGCAGATCGCCATGATGCAAACGGCTCCTGCGGCAACCGGGTCCTGAGTTTGATCCATCGATTTCGGATTCTCGCCCCCCCCCCCCCGGGGGTCCAGGACCATCAACAAAAAGAGTCAGGATGAAGATTCGGTCGCAGGGGAAAGCCCTGGATCAAGACACCGGAAGGGAAGCACGGGCGGAAGGGTTTCGGGGCGCGTGTGGACGCCGACAGGGCCAAGGCAAATGGCGGGGGGCACAAGCGAGGTTTCGGGACGAAGGTAACGGGGTTCAGCGCTACCTAGGGTTAGCCAAGGAGGAGGAGGAGGAGGAGGAGGAGGAGGAGGAGGAGGAGGAGGACAAGAGGGGGGAGGAGGAGGACAAGGAGGAGGAGGATGAGGAGGAGGGAGGAGGACGGGAGGAGGAAAAGGGAAGAGAGGAGGAGGAGATGAGGCGGCGGGAGGAGATGGAGGAGGAGAAGGAGGGGAGGAGGAGGAGGAGAGGAGGAGCAGGAAGGAGGAGGAGGAGAGGGAGGAGGAGGAGGGGAGAGGTGGGGGAGGGGAGGGGGAGGGTGGAGGGGGAGGGAGGGGGAGGAGGAGGGGAGGAGGGGGGGAGGGGTGGAGAGGGAGGGGGAGGGGGAGGGGCGGAGGAGGAGGAGGAGGAGGAGGAGGAGGATGAGGAGGAGGAGGAGGCGGAGGTGGAGTGTGGAGGATGAGGAGGAGGAGGGGTGGAGGAGGAGGGGGGAGGAGGGGGAGGAGGGGGAGGAGAAGGAGGAGGAGGAGGAGGAGGTGGAGGAGGAGAGGAGAGGAGGGGAGGAGGAGGAGGAGGAGGAGGAGGAGGAGGGAGGGGGGAGGAGGAGGAGGAGGAGGAGGAGGGAGGAGGCGGAGGAGGAAGAGGAGAATGGAGCGGGGCTGGAGGAGGAGGAGCTGGAGCGGGAGCTGGAGGAAGGCGAGGAGGAGGAGGAGGAGAGGAGGAGAGGAGGAGGAGGAGGAGGAGGTAGGAGGAGAGAGGAGGAGGCGGAGGAGGAGGAGGAGTGGAGGAGGAGGGGACAGAGGAGAGGAGGAGGAGGGGAGGAGCAGGAGGGGGACGAGGAGCAGGAGCGGAGGAGGAGGAGGGGGAGGGGGAGGGGGAGGTGGAGGGGAGGGGGGGGGGGGGTTGGAGGGGGAGGGGGAGGGGGAGGGGTGAGGGGAGGAGGGGGAGTGGAGGAGGAGGAGTGGAGGAGGAGAAAGAGGAGCAGGAGGAGGAGGAGGAGGAGGAGGAGGAGGAGGAGAAGGAGTTGGAGGAGGAGGAGGAGGAGGAGGAAGAGGAGGAGGAGGAGGAGGAGGAGGAGGAGGCCGCCGCCCCCGCCCAGCTCCTCGATGCGGGGCGGCGGCGGCGGTCACCAGACCTCGGCATTTAGCTTGCCCTCGGCCGGGTGGGCGGCGAAGAGACGGCCTCGGGAGCCTTGAGACGGGAGTCAATGCAAACAGGGCCAGAGCGCCCGATCTTGCAGGATCCTGCAGGGCCCGGGTCGCATTGGCTCGGACTCGGGTGCAGGATCGGGCAGGATCTTGCAGGATATTTCGCATTGAGCCGGGCTGGTGTGCAGGATCATGCAGGATCTTGCAGAATTCTGCAAGGCCTGACTGACCTGGGTCTGGATTGGCCCGGGTCAGTAGATCCCCGACGGCCCCTCCCCCCTCTGCTTGCTAATTGTTCGGTCGCGGGTCTCCTGTGAAGCGCGGCCGCCTAGGTTTCACGCAGTCGAGCGCGGGAGACCGCCGAAGGTCGCCAGAGCTCGCCGGAGGCCGGCGGGCATCGACAGGTCCACTGTCGAATGCGTGTAGCGGTTCGGAGACAACTTTCTGCGGTTGTAAAAAACAAATACATACGTATGTTTTCGGAGGTCCGCGCGGATTTCGTGGGTTGGCGTTGGGACCCGCCTCCTCCACAACCCTGGCGGCGCTTCGGGCACCTCCCCTGGTGCGCTCCGCGCTCTGAGGGGGTGGGGGGGTGGGGGAGGGGACCAGCGCCGACCCAATCAATCCGCACAGATCTCCGAGATATGCCTTCCTTGACGAGCAAGCAAACAATACACACACACATACATACACACACACACACACACGCACACGTACCAATACCCATAGGGAGGTCGGAGGGGAGACGTGCGGCTGAGGGGTGGGGGCTGTCGGGCCCCTGGGAGGTCTCCCGTTTGACCGGGAACCCCCCTCCGACACCAAGCACCCATAGCCCCGTCCGCCTCCCCAGGAAGAGGAGGAGGAGGAGGAGGAGGAGGAGGAGGAGGAGGAGGAGGAGCAGGAGAGGAGGAAGAGGAGGAGGAGGAGGAGGAGGAGGAGGAGGAGGAGGAGGAGGGGAGGTGAGGGGACGGGGACGGGGACGGGACGGGGACGGGGACGGGGACGGGAGGGGGAGGGGGGAGGGGGAGGGGGAGGGGGAGGGGGAGGGGGAGGGGGGGGGGGGATGGGGGGGGGGGAGGAGGAGGAGGAGGAGGAGGAGGAGGAGGAGGAGGAGGAGGAGGGGAGGAGGAGGAGGAGAGAGGAGGAGGGAGGAGGCGCAGGGCGCAGGAGCAGGAGCAGGAGCAGGAGCAGGAGCAGGAGTAGGAGCAGGAGCAGGAGCAGGAGCAGGAGCAGGAGCAGGAGCAGAAGCAGGAGCAGGAGGAGGAGGAGGAGGAGGAGGAGGAGGAGGAGGAGGAGGAGGAGGACGATTCGATCGACCGACTCCATGGATATCCGACTCGGTCCGTCGGGCCGCGCGGCGCGCAGCTCGGGAAGCCCTGGGCGGCCTCGGGCACCCCCTTGGCGAGCCTCGGGCGGCCCCGGGAGACCCCTGGGCGAGCTGGTCGCCACGCCCTCGCGCGTCAGGAGAAGTTCCAGGGGCGAAAGGAAGAATGCCAGGGGTGAATTCCAGGGGCGAAAAAAAGAGGCGAAAAAAGAAAAGGAAGAATTCCAGGGGCGAAAAATTCCATGAGCCCATGCTGGCTTCGACAGCGCGCACTGCGCGAGCGCTCGTACCACGAGGCTGGTCTGGCGGCCTCCTGGGGCCGCGTTCACAGGCCAGCCACGACTGGGGGAGCTGTGTTCCTTACCCCCCTGGGGGACCCATCGATTTCGACGCCCCTCTCGAGAGATCGTCGATGCGATGGGTTCCCCCAGGGGGGTAAGGACCACACCTCCCCCAGTTGTGGCTGGTCGGGTTCATCTGCGTGGTTGGGCGCGTGCGTCCTTTGTGGGCTCCCGACTGTTTGCCTCCCGGCGCCTGCGGCGCCGTGCGGAGGCGGTGCGGCGGCGGAAGCACAACAAGATCCCCGGCGCCTCCCGGGGCGCCTCGGAGAAGCCGCCCGCCGCGCGCGCGCACTTCGCCGCCTACGCGGAGGTCTACGCGCCCCTGGTGCCCAGCCCTCGCTCCGCAGCCATGGCCCGCCCCTGGGGCCCTTAAAGAATCCACGGCAGGCTCGTGCCGTGTCGGCGGGCGGCGGCATTCGGAAGCTGGGCGAGGGCTGACAGCTCCGTGGCTGCTACAAAAACGCCTCGCCGGAGGGGAAAAACGGATTCTCGGAAGAAAGCTCGGCGCACTGAATAGTTCGGGAGGCCCCAAACGGGGCGGTGACCACACCGTGCGGTGAGTCGGTGGAGATTCGGGGTCACCGCACGGTTTTGGGACTCGAGTTCCTCTCCGAGGATGTCTCGGGCGACAGGGGCCTCCAGGGTCCCAAGACCGTGCGGTGATGGACCGTGCGGTGAGGTTTCTTGGGGTTCCGAGGTCACCGCACGGTCTGTCACCGCACCGTTCCGGGACTACGGGCTGCTTCCCGGAAGGAAAAAAAAACAAGTTCCCGCAGCCACGGGTTTGCCAGCCTTCGCCTGGCTCCCGAGGCACAGCGCGGGTGTTCAAGATCGGACGCCACCAGTGGCCCAGAATTCGTGAATACGGAAGGGGTTGGCGATCGACAAGGCCGCCGCTCGCTCGTGTGCGGCGCTCCGCGTGGTGTGCAGAGAGACCAGCGACGGAGTCGTCACGACACGAACTTGCCTTACGCTTGTGGAGGACGATATTTGGAGAGGAAGCATGCTGCCTGATAATTTTCAGATCTCTAAAAGATGTTTCAGATATGTTGTAAAGATGCTAAAGACATGTTTGCAACGTTTGTGTGAACATGTTTTACACATTTTAAACACATCTTTAATTCAATGATACTCCGTAGCCATTTTGGCTCAAGTTGCAATATCGGGAACTCCCCCGTCTCGAGGTGGCGAGGCGGCCGCGCGTCCGCGGGTCCACAGGTGCTCGCCCGAGCAGGACCCGCATCCATTTCCTGTGCTTGTGTGAGCTCCTGCTGGAGCCATACCGTTACAGTACTTGTCATCGACACCATCTCTCTCTTTTCGCCGCGATGGGGGGCAAGCGTCGGACTGAAAGAAGATGTGCCGACTCGCGGAGTGACTCTCGCAGCTCATCATCCGCACGCCGCAGTGCCAGCCGAACACCTGATGCCCGCCGTGAAGCAACAGGCCGCTCTCAGGACGTCATGGGTAAGCTCGAGACCATCGCTGGCAACATCACCACCCTCAGCCAGATGATGATTCAGAACAATGCAGATGTGGCGGACCTCAAATCCTCGGTGGCTGGATCTTTCGCTCGGTGTAGTGAACTTTCGGACCAGATCGTGATCATGGGCAACAACATCCACCAGCGCCACAAGCAGATCGAGCACGACTTGTCTGAGGCCCTCAAAGCTCAAGATGCCAAAATTGATGCCATGCGTGCAGACCTACAACAGCAGACTGACAATATGAACGGCCGTCTATGTCAATATGAAAGCTCCCCGACCCCGACGAGCAGTGAGGGAATGGACGTTGATCCCCTGCCCACCGCCATCCAGCAAAGGATCAGTGCCATTGAGAACCAGCTCGCCGTGATCACGAAGAGCCCCAAACCGATCAAAACTACATCGGAGACCCGTGTTTCGGCCATGGAGCGTGCACATCGGATCGTGATCGTTGGTTTCCCCCGCAAGATGATGCAATCGACCCTGCGTTCGGCTGCAAGTTTATTCATTCGAGCTGGTGTTCCACAAGGGCGTCCCCAACCAATGATTCGTGCTTTTGACATGACCAAGAAAGTGACCTTGGACTTCGCAGATTCAATGAAAGCTTCTGATTTCCTATCCAACATCGCAGCCACTCAGCCGATGCGTTTTCCTGATCCTGTCTTCCCTGGCCAGTTCTTTGAGCTCCGCGCCAAGAGGGACATGGAGCCTGGCACCCGCCTTCTTTTCCTTGCCATGGGCAAAATTCGAGGGCTCTTGGCATCGGCCATGCAGCCCCTTCAGAAGGAGATGGGCTCGAATGGCCTCGGGGGTGACATTTATGTGCTGCGTGCGCCAGAGGACCCAGTCATTCTATTTCACGTCTCCATCGACAACAGTGGAGCGAAGCCCGTGATTGCACTTCAGTTTGAGCCAGAGCAATTTGCTGAGTTTCACGCCACCGTCATGCCTCTCCTGGAGCGGATCCAGGATGGGGTGGCCCATCTGAATGCTTCGCTTCCCTTTTAAGGAGTCTTGCGACGAGCCCTGGGCTGCGGGCGCAGCCGACGTGTCACAACGCGAGTTGTGCAATCGAGCTGCGAGCCCTTTCGGGCCAGATGTTTTGCCTGTCCCTCTATTGAATTCAACTGTCGGGCCCTTCCCCTTTTTCCCCTCCTCCCCCCTGAAGATCGGTTCTTGGAACACTCATGCTCTCTTTGCCGCGGTTCGCAGTCAGAGTAGCAAAGCTCCCGTTCGTTACGCACGTTTCCTCAAGTACGCAAAGCAGCTCACTGTTCTTTGTGCACAAGAGTGTCATGGTCAAGTTGCGGATATCAATGAGCTGCAATGTGAGCTTCGAGGTTTCGAGATCGGTCACTCGCTCTTCGCTGACTCTACTCGTGAAGGTGGCGTTCTTACCTGCATCCAGCCCTCTCTCTGCAAGTCGTTCTCGTCCATTGTCCACACCCCTATCGTCGAAGGGCGCATTCTGAAGACTTACCTCTCGGGGCCCAATGGTGATCTCTGCATCATTAATGTTCACATGCCTAACACTAACGACCTCCTCAACATCTATGCCAGAGCCCTGCGTGAGGTTCTCGTCTCCCTCCCCTCTCCCACGGCATGCACTACTGTTCTCATTGGTGATTGGAATTTTGCATTGTCGGCTGACGGTCGTCTGAGAGCCGACGGCAGTGGATGGTCCTCAGGTGATGACTCTCACACGAATCTTTTCTTTCGGCATTGCGCCCAGTGGACTGAACTATACCAATCCGAGGACACGAGGCGGGAGGTCAGGGAGGGCACGATCGTTCACACCGCACGTCTTGATCGAGCTTACTGCACGCTGCCACCTGCTCTGCTTGCTGATCTCACTATTAGTGGGGGAACTCTTGGGCGATTACAATCGAACATGGTCTCGGACCACATCCCCGTCGTTGTGACCCTCAGCACCTTCAAGCCCCAGGAGGCCCCCAAGAAGCTCCCGAAGTGGCTGGCTCGTCACCCGCTCTTTCAGAGCATCCTGGAACCTGCGGTTTCCGCCCTCTCGGACCTGGACCTGGATCCCTGGGACCGCCTTGCCCGCGTCAAGGATCTGATGTTTGAAGTTGCTGAAGAGGTCCGGTCACAACTTGCAGCCCTGCCAGCGGAGACGACGGAGGCTAAGCATTTCAGGACCCTCCAAGCCCTCCGTGCGTGGCGCGCTCACGACGTGCTACGGGTGCGTCTCGCTGTTCGCGCTTATCCCGCTCTTGCCGCTCATTTTCCATCCCTTGATCTTCATGATGCCCGCATTCCTTCTCTATGTCTGCATGCACAGAACCTGCGCATCTCTTTGCTGGCAGAAGAAGAGCGTGAGCTCGAAGCAGGTGCTGTGAATATCCCTGAGGAGGTCCTTGCCAGCGCCCGCAAAAAGATCAGCAACCGTAATGAACTTTGGAGGAAAATGAAGCGTCGCACCTGGCTCCAGGGCACCCTCTCGGAAGCGGGCACACCGAGTATTTCAGAGGCCGAAGCGGCCGACTCTCTTCTGCAGCACTGGAAGAAGGTCTTTGCCGCACCTGAGGTGGATACCTCGCTTTGGCCTGAGCTCTCGCGTTTCATCAAGCCGCTTTCTGCTCCTGCCAACGCCACTTTTAACGAGCTTCAGGAGGAGGGATGGATACTGGGAGAGGTGGAGTGGGAAGAATTGGTGAGACGTAAGACGGACAGCATGCCTGGCGAGGATGGCATCCCCTATTCGGCTTGGAAGGTACCCGCTGCCAAGAACGCCCTGTACGACTGCTATTGCCGCCTGTTCACTCACCCGACCTCGGACCTCCCCACCGACATGAAAAATGCCATCATGATTTTCCTCCCTAAGAAAATCACCGATAAAGAGGTCGGGGAGGGTGTCTTTAGGTTGCCGCAGGTCACGCGTCCGCTTAGCATGACGAACACCGATTGCAAGCTTCTCTCTTCTTCCATGACTTGGACTTTATCCAAGAAGGTTGCAATATCGAACCTGTTACGGCCCCCGCAAAAGTGTTTCAGGGGGCGGGACATGATTGTGAATGTTATCGAAGCTGAGTTGTTCATCCTTCAGAAGCACATGAAAGATCGGTACACGTCTGGTTTGGTCCTTACTGATTTTGAGTCTGCTTTCCCTTCTGTCTTTGTCCCCTGGGTCCTCCACGTCCTGGAGAAAATGAAGGTCCCTGGTGCCGTGGTCCACTTCTTCAAGGAACTCTATGACAATAACACTGCCACGATTTCGCTCTTCGGTCGGACATGGGACAGCTTTGCCATTGAACGGGGAGTTCGTCAGGGCGACCCCAGCTCTATGCTTTTGTTCACTCTTGCGGTGGAGCCTGTACTTGCCTGGCTGGCCTGGCGCCTGCCCGATCACATTGAACTCTCCCTCGCATATGCCGACGATTTCTGTTTTGGCCTACGGTGTCTGCTTGATGGGATAGGGCCCCTATTTGAGTGCCTACGGAGCTTACAGCCTACTATTGGCCTTGCCCTCAACCTCCCCAAGTGTCAGGTCCTCCTTGCCTACCCCAACCTCAAGGAGCCCCTCCAGGACCTCCTCTCGGACCTTGGCCACCAGCTGGAGCTCCTAGAGATTGCGGTCTCTTTGAAATACCTAGGTGTCTGGATTGGGATGGGGGCGGAGAAGGTTACCTGGGAGGAAAACATCATCAAGCTTCGGAAGAGGACGAGGGAGATCAGGGACCTAGGTTTGGGTCTTGCCCAGTCGATTGTGTTGTTTAAGGCTTACTGTGTATCGCTGCTGTATTTTATGTCGCAGGTGCATGCGCCCTCTATTCCGCTCATCAAGACTTACCAGGCCTGCGTGCGTTTGTTGACGGCAGGTCCGAATAACGCCCTTTCGTATGACATGTGT